TTCTTGCTCTAGAGCCATGGTTCTCAACCTATGGGTTGTGACCCCCCCGAATGACCCTTTCACAGGGGTTACATATTGGATATCCTGCTTATTAGGATATACTGTTATGGTTCATAACAGTTGCAAAACTACAGTTATGGAATAACAACAAAAATAACTATATGGTTGGGGGTGGCCACAACTGTATGAAAGGATCACAGCATTAGAAAGGTTGAGAACCTCTGCTTTGGCGCATACTGAGAGTGTACACTCTTACAAAGGTAGTTGTCTGTTCATCTATGTCCTGTAGAGGACAGTTGGATAGTACCTTGCGTAGCCTGGTTATAATGAAGGTAGTACCTATTTCAGCTTCCCTCAGATTTTATTTTTAGTCTTTTATAACTTTCCCTCATTTTTTATCCTTTTTTTTTTTTCCTATCTAGCTTTTAGTTTGTATGAATGTTTTGATGACACTTGAATTTCTTTTTAAATATTTGTCATGTATCAGTGTTAACAGCTTAATGTTTCTTTGGTTCCACAGTAGCTACATAATACTCTGTGGTTTTGTGGAACTCAGTGTCACCTGTAGTCCCAGGTACAGGAGAGGCTGAGGTAGAAAGATCTTTTGAGTCTAGAAGTTTGAGAGACCCTAATCATAAAAAGAAAACTATGTAAAACTGTAGTTCTCCTGTTTTGTTTCGTTTTCTCCTTAGGTAATCACAAGTGAAGAGGCTGAAAGACGGGGACAGCTATATGATAATAAAGGGATCACATATCTTTTTGATCTGGATTATGAATCTGATGAATTCACAGTGGATGCAGCTCGATATGGAAATGTGTCTCATTTTGTGAATCATAGTGTAAGGAACTCTATAGATAGACAAATAACTCAAACAAGTGCTGTCTGAATGGTTTTTCCTTAACCTGAATGATAATCATGTTTACACAGTGTTCAGAGCAGTTTAGTATAAGGGCTTTTCCTGTTAAATCATGATATTCCTGTAATATGAACATACATATTGAAGCATTTGATAATTACTATGTTTATAACAGTCTATAGCTCAGTTCATTTAAACTTTCTAATAACTTTGTAGGGTAGATAGATAACTTCATAGCAGAGGACGGGTATTAATAAGCAAGGGAGCTAAGTAAAATTGTTTAAGAATCTCAATGAAGGTATGTTACAGAAGTTGATGCTACTACATCTGAAATGTGTGGTAGCCCCTCATCTTATTGACATTTTCCTTTCCATAGTTTCAGTTACTGTTACAGTTAGCTGGGGCCCAAAAGTACCCAGCCTAAATTTCCAGAAATAATTCATTTAAGTGTTAAGTTGTCTGCTATCTTGTTGGAGACATGTGCTGTCCCTTTGTCTAGTGTATATACATTGTATGTGCTACCTGATAGTCACTGAGTAGCTCTCTGGATTATCAGGATAACCTTCATAGTGTTGCTGTGTTCAGGTAACCTTATTTTACTCAGCAATTGCCCAGAAACACAAGATTAGTAATGCTGGCAATTTGGACTTGCCAAAGTGTTTCCTTTAAGCCACAAGGTAAAAGTACAATAAGATATTTTCATAGAGGCAGAACACTCATATAACTTAGCTGTTCAGTGCTTGTTTGTAGTTAACCTCTTTACCGTGTCTGAATTAAAGGCAACTTGTCATGAGTATATATGTATAGGACAAGCCCCTAGTATTTGTAGGGTTTGGTACTATCGGCAGTTTTAGGCATCTACTGGGGATCTTGGACAATACTCTCATGGGTATGGGAGGAATACTCTACAGCTAAAGGTAACAGGGTTGGTTTTTGTTTTGTTCTTAATGTCAGTATGTTAACATTTGAAAATAAAATTTAAAGAATTTCTAGAGTATTCAAATATTTAGGGTTATTTCTCAAAATTAGAAATTAGTATTCTTTAATTTTTAATTGATGTTTGAAAAACTTTGGTCTGCAGCCTATTCTTTTTAAGGATTTTGTGTGTATGTGTGTAGAGATAAAGAGTAATTAGAGTAATTATTTAAAAATAAAATTAGCACCGTTTAACTCAGATGTATGCTGCATAGTTTCATCACTCAGGTACGAGGCATAAGCTCAGGAGGTTGGTTCTGCTGCCACTTTTTGTATGTGTGACAGATAATAAAGAAAAAGTGTTTCAGACAGCATGCCATAAAGCTGATCTTAAAATATGTAGCCAAGTTAAAATGTCTGCTAGATTGCTTGCCAAGAGCCCTGTGTGAATAGCAGTGAAATGTAAGAGACCGTCTGGACTTCCTTTTCGGTTCCCTGATTTGTTTAAATGTCTGTTTTAAGTAATTTCTTCTTAAGATAAATTTGAGGGTTACTCATTCTTTTGTATCCCAGGGGATTAGTCCTACAATTCCCTATAGGTACTTCCTTGTAAGTTCCTTATGTTAAATTTGAGACATAATAACCTAGACATTCTCTTTTAAACTTTAAATAGTATGTAGATTATTTCTAATGCCTAATAGAATATACATGGTATTCCATTTTGTTTAGGGACTAAGGAGAAGGTCACTCAGCCTGGACATGTTCAGGACTACTGTGTGATTTTCTTTTCTATACACACTTTTATAATCTACAGTTAGTGACTCTGTAATTGGCTGAGTCCAGATGTGGGGCGTTGAATAGAGAAGTCCAGCTCTACTACCCAAAACATACGTCCTATGCAGGGATAATTAAACACCAATTTCATTTTCTTGGCATGACTCATTACATCTTTTTGCATATTCTGTAGTTTAGTATTCTTGAAATACTGAACAATTCCAAATAAAAATTTAAGTGATGTAATTATGCAATATAAAATTTGAATTCCATCGTGCTGATTTTATTTAAAGATAATTACTCTAGCTGGGTGGTGATGGCACATGCCTTTGATTCCAGCACTCAGGAGGATAAGGCAGGCTGAACTCTGCGAGTTTGAGACCAGCCTGGTCTACAGTGTAGCACCAGGGCTACACAGAAAGACCCTGTCTAAAACCCTGTCCCTCCCAAATTACTATAATTATTTAAAGTATACACATATGCGCGCGCGCACACACACACACACACACGCAGTGTGCCTTACTGAAATAGTTAAAAGTGAAATGCCCATGTTATAAAGGAAAATTTTATTAAAACCCTCCTCCCCCACAAAAAGGCTGACACAAAATATTATGAATTGTGGAAGCAACATACTGGATACGTGTGCCTTTGTGTTCATGAATGACTAAGATCTTTGCTGGACGAAGTGGCCCTCGCCTGTAATCCCAGCACCCGGGGAGGCAGAAGCAGGCAGAACTATGTGAGCTCTAGGCTAGCCAGGTCTACAGGGCAAATCTAGACAGCCAAGGCTACAGAGAAACCCTGTCTCAAAAAATCCAAAAATAAATAAATAAACAAACAAAAAAATTTAAAACAAAATTAAAATATTTTGTTTGTCTTTGTTTTTCAAGACAATCACTGTGTAGCCTTGGCTTTCTTGGACTTGCTTTGTAGACCACGCTGGCCTGGATGGAACTCAGAGATCCTCCTGCCTCTGCCCCTCCGAGTGCCGGGATTACAAGCATGATCCACTTATTATTTTTTTTTTTTTTTTAAATATGGGGGCTGGAGAGATGGCTCAGTGGTTAAGAATGCTTGCTGCTTTTCCAGAGGACCCGAGTTCTCAGCACCCATTTTTTGGGGGGTCACAACTATCTGTGACTCTAGCACCATAGGGATCAACAACCCTTTCTGGCCTCTGCAAGCACCTGAACCCATGCACACATACTTCCGGATTCTGTACACATAAATAGAAACCAAATGTTTTGGCTGGGCAGTGGTGGCACATGCCCTTAATCCCAGCACTTGGGCGGCAGAGGCAGGTGGATCTCTGAGTAGAAGGTCACTCTAGTCTACAGAGCAGGTTCCAGGACAGCCAGTTATACAGAGAAACCCTGACTTGAAAAACCAAAACAAAACAAAAAAAAACAACTTTATACATGAAAACTGTATTTTGAATGTGCGTGCGTACAGTTTGCAGAACTTAAAATGATCATGTGGCAGTTGGCAATTTTTTGTGGTAATAGAAGAGCACCTTCCTACCAGTTTTACTGAAACAGGTTTTATTGTTCTTTTTTAGTGTGACCCAAATCTTCAGGTATTTAGTGTTTTCATCGACAACCTTGATACTCGGCTCCCCAGAATAGCATTATTTTCCACAAGAACCATAAATGCTGGAGAAGAGCTGACTTTTGACTATCAAATGAAAGGTATGATTTAAGATTTTTTTTTTTTTGTATTAAGACACAGTCTTTCCGTATAACAACCCTTTCTGTCCTGGAGCTCACTCTGTAGACCAGGCTGGTCCTAAACTCATAGAGATCCACCTGCCTGCCTCCTGAGTGCTGGGATTAAAGGTGTGTGCCATCACCACTGGCTTCAAAAATAATTTTATGGGTGTTGGTTTCAGTATGACAGTGAAGGCAAGTCTTTGGATTACAAACCAAACTAACACTGAAGATGAAAGGAAGCAGTAGGGAGGAGGATCAGCAAGACCAATCCTGTGTGGAGATGATGAAGCACATTATGCTGTACTAACTTAAAGATCTTAAAAATGAAACAAATTGGAGGGGTAAGACTGTCATCTTACCTAAGGCCCAGGGCCCAGCTGAAAACTAAAGGTAGCACACAGTCTTTCTTCCAAGTCACCACAGCCTGACTTTTCTCAGGACTTCCATTTTGGAAGCTGACTTACCATAATATTAGTATGTTTTTGAACATTCATTAATTGATAAATATTGACAGGATTGAAAGTATGGTTTCAATCACATATGAATTCTATTCCTTCTTGAATCTGACTTTCTAAAGCACTTAATTATGTTGGCTGTATTGTGATTGTGAATATTTCCTATGAATAATGTGCTTTACATGCTGCTACTACTTGGCCCCACTGTGCTCTCAGTGATATAAGAACAACGATTGTGCATTGGACTTTCTTAATAAATGTCATCATAGCCTATAACACCCTCTCCAGACAACTCTGTTGTGGTAATTTTAAAAGTACTTGTTAATAATGTTTATTATGGTCCTATAATTATCATGGCAGTATTATCTAACCTGCAGTCATAATCAGTAAGACACAGAGACCTCTTAGATTTTAGATTTGCCTTATTTCACTTTGGGCTGGGCAGATAATTCCACCTATGCTATCTCATTATCTCCCAGCCCCCATCCCATGTCATCTGCCTTAACCATTCCTATCTGGACTACTTTCCATCCATAACCTCAAAATACTTGCTTATATTCTTCATCTGGGCCATTCCTTTTCACACCATTCCCAGAGCCCTTCCTCTTGGCCCACATTCTTTTTAATCCAATGGCAACTCTGCTTTCTCCTTTCTGCTCTACTTTCTCCTTCCCAGGATCTCCTGTCTCCAAACCCCATGAACCATAGTTTCACCTACCTCACTTTTGCCCTGCCCAGGTGTAGAAAATTTTATTTGACCAGTCAGAAGGCAGGGTAACACAAACATCATTTTGGGGTGTGAGAGGGATTGTTCGCAGGACAGTAAGAATCTTGGAGGGAGAGGGGCAAGATAATTAACAATTAATACAGAGGATCAGGCCATGTTGCTATGTAACTCAGAATGAAACGTCTCAAGATATTCACATAAGTACAAAACTATTTCTTTGGAAGTTAACCAATGTCTTAAGAAAGTAAACACCATTGCTAGCTACTTTAAAACAGAAATTTAAGAAACAGTTCTAAAGTATTTTGTTTAGTTTTTTGAGACAGTCTCACTATGCAGCCTTGGCTGGCTTGGAACTCACTGTACAGACCAGGCTGGCCTCAAACTCAGAGATCTGGCTGCCTCAACCTCCTAAGTGTTGAGATGAAAAGCATGTACCACTGTGCCCAACTAAAGTATCTTTTGAAGGTGAAGATTTGTGTGTTTGTGTTCATGTGAATGTGAAACCCACAGAGGTCAGAAGTTGGAATTTGAGGCAGTAATAAGCTGCCTGATGTTGATGTTAGGAACTGAACTGTCCTCCAGGAGAGGATGGACTACTCTTTACTGCTGAAGCAGCTTCCAGCCCCTGTTCTAAAACATTTGTTTCTCTTCCTATATTTTCAGGTTCTGGAGAATTATCTTCAGATTCTATTGACCACAGCCCTGCCAAGAAAAGGGTCCGAACTGAATGTAAATGCGGAGCGGAGATGTGCAGAGGTTACCTCAACTGAAATTTCAGGAAATGGAGCTCATGATATTTATGTTTTGTTTTGTTTTTCTTCTAACAACTGAAAAAGTACTTGGGACTCCTTTCTATTATCAAGATTATATGTATGTTAATATAAAACTCATGTTTCAAGATATTTGCCAAGTACACTACTGTTGCTTCTAAAGACTTCAGGGCCTCATAGACAGTATATATTTGGTGGTTACCTGGAAAGCGAACTATTCACAAGTTACCTTGTGCTTAAGAAGTCGGAACAGACGAGTGTCCCCTTCAGTGTTTGAAAAGTGATGAAGCAATGATTGTTGATATAAAACCTTTTACCTTGACCCAAACAGATAATTCAATTTAGACAAATGTACAAATTTTTTTTTACTATATTGTTCCCATTTAATACTTACTGATCTTGTATATGAGACAAATAAGTGACACTGAATTTTTTACTATATTTTCTACTTTTACACTAAAACATTGGCATCTTAATAGTGTATTTCAGATGTAAATGTGAAAGATTTACTTTTAGCTTCACCTCATTCTGAAACAGTATCTACCATTACAAAGACTGTCTGAACCTGAAATTCTTAGAGATTTTTTTAATCCTGTAGAAGAGTCTCTAATCAGCTCCTCTGGAGTCCATAGTGGCTGGCCATTGTGCTTCTTTGAAGAGACAGCAGTATGACTCAGAGGACACGTTGGAGTGCCAGGCAGAGCAAACAGGACAAAGTGAGGTCCACATTGAGTATCTCATCTAAACAGGAGATGGAGATGCCAGGGAGCACGTGTCCCCAGGGACAGTGTAATTCACACCACATCACCGTCACTTCAGGCAGTTTCAATATTTCCTTTCCACTAAATTTAATTTTGTATTTTTCGCATGTCCTTGAAAGTAACCTATATTTGAGCAGATACTTGTTTTATACAAGAATTTTTTAGATAGGATAAAGCTAAGCTTGGCCAAAGTTATGTCCGTTTGAACTTTTATTAACCTATGGGGATTAGATAGGATTTTTTTTCCCCCTGTGTAGTAAAACCAATAAGGAAAAAAACTTACTTTCATCTTTCTGGGTCTGGGAATTGTAATTATGGTGTCCAGTGTGAAGACAAAAACAAAATGCAGCAAATAATCCGAGGTTTCAGTGTTCTCTAAGATTTACCTAAGCTCACTGCTCTAGGCTTTAATAGACTGTTTAATAGACCGTACTATGCATAAGTAAAATGAACTGAATTCAGGAACTCAGCCCTTCCTTTATCTTCCTAATCTTAACTTGTTTTTGGAGAAACTGCAATGTTATTCAAAATATTGCCCTCACGTGGCTACTTGTTCACAATACATAACATAAACTGTTTGCATGTTTGGAGCCCCATAGTATGTCTGTTACCCCAAAATCAAGAAAATATATTTTTTTAAATGGACTTGTTTTTCTTTGAGCATCTTAAAAGTGTTACAGGTCTGTTTTTCCCCTCTCCCAACCCCCCATAGCCAAGCTCACTCTGAATTATTCTCAGGTTTAAAAATAGGATTCTTTTTTTTTTTAATCAGTGTTTTGACTGTCTAGATATTTGGTCTTGTTTACTATTTAGGTTAAAAAGAAATTTAAGGGGGCAAAGGGAAAGAGCCTGTGTATAATAAATGTGTGGCTTTGTTTTGTTCTTACTAGAAATGTAATGGGCCCTTAAGATTTTGTGGGGAGGGGTAGGTCTTGAGACAGGGTATCTTTTAGCTCAGGCTAGCCTTGAATTTGCTGTTTAGCTGAGGATTATCTGGAACTGTTGATCCTGCCTCCACCTCTCAGGGCTGGGATTACAGAAATGTGCCACCATGCCCAGCTTGAGATTTTTACCTTTAAACAACAACAACAACAAAACAAACAAGTAAACAAAAGGAATTTCATTCTAAGTTCCATACATGTAATGTACTTTGCTTCTATTCACTATTCCATTCCTCTTTCTTGCCTTTCAACATTCCCCTATTCCCTTCTGGCCATAGTCCTTCTTGAACTTTCATCTAAATACAAATGTGTGTGTATGTGTTTGTGTGTGTGCCTCTTTGTTGCTGTGACAAAAGTGAGCAGTTCAGCTCCAGTTTGATCCCTTCAAGTCTCATGGCCTAAGTGTGTAGAGTTTTCAGAAATGGACCTGGAGGTAGTCATGACAGGAACTTAAGAGCAGAGGCTGGAACCACAAAGGAACACTGCTTACTGGCTTGTTCCCAGGCTCATACTCAGCTAGCTTTCTTACACAAGCCAGGCCCATCTGCCTAGGAACGGACTGCCCACAGTGGGCTAGACCCAGCTACATCAATTAACAATTAGAAAATCCCCCAAGACATGCCACAGGCCAATATGATGGAGACAGGTCCTCATTTGAAGTTCCCTTTTTTCAGGTGACCCCCCCAGTTTGTCAACCTGAGAGCTGAAGCTAACTGATAATGTATATATAATCATTTTGCATATTTGATACTTCTCTAAGTGTGGCTAGCCTCTAGGATTCTATGATGTATCTTGGCATTTTGAAACTTTTTTAACCTTGGCTAATTTTCATTCTTGAAAACTGAAGTAGCCACTTCAGTTAGTCCTGCCTGTTTTAATGCTGTTTGGAAAGGTTTCTGTCATATAGCATAGTGCTCAAGGCCTGTTGCCTGTGTGTGAGCCCTGGCTGCGCTGCTCACTAGCTATGTGAAGTGACCTGTGTGCCTTACCCTCATGGCCTACCTCAAAGTGTGGTTTCACAGATTAAAGCTTTATAAGGTGTTTTTTATTACAGTATAAACATGTAAATATTTCCTATTATTCTGTACTTAAAACATAAGCTATAAAAGCTGGTGATCAGGTATACTGATATAAATCTACATTACTGTTCTTAGCTCTTGACTTCATTCCAGACAGTGTTCATGCCAGACTTAAGAACTAAAACATGAAAATCACAGTTATAAAATGTTAGAAATACATTCAGAACAATATTTGCAGGCATGTTTTTAATGCTAACTTTGGATCATGAAATATCCTAGTAAAACCAAGTTTTGTGCTGAGAGTATGGCTCAGCTCAAATCAAAATAAAGTTTTGAGTATTAGTGAATATATACAAATACATACATACATACATGCATACATATATGCATATATTCTAAGTCATCACCCAGTAGGTTGGGTCCAGTAATTTGAGGTCTAATTGCTGTGTAGCAGTGAGGATCTGTGACAGTTAATTTAATCTGCAAATTGTAAGACTCCTTTTAAGCTATTTTAAGTGATGTGTCTATATCATTCTCTTGATTTGTAAAATGTCACCATACTAAAGTGCTTATGAAAATGTTTACAAAGCTTTATTAGATCCACTTGCATCAATACAAAAGCATTGTACTTTAAGGCAGTTTAACAGCTCATAGAACATATGTTAGCCATTTAATTCTAAGTATTTTCCTTTACATTCTAATCAACAATGTCAGTGCACTGGTAACATTTTTATCTCTTGAAACAAGCTCTTGCAGAGTTGTGCAGGCTTAACCTCCAATGCCACCCCTCCTGTCTCGGCCTTTAGAGTAAGCTGGAACACAGCCTTGCTTAGCCCCCTGGTGCTTTTTAAGATTTATTTTAATTTTATGTATGAGTGTTTTGCCTGCTTGTACGTATATGCGCCACATGTGTGCCTGGGTCCCCTGGAATGGAGTTACAGACAGTTGTGAGCCGCCATGTGGGTGTTGGGAACCAAACCTGGGTCCTCCACAAAAACAGCAAGTGCTGCAAACTGCTGATCCATCTCTCCAGCCCTGCCCCCAGGACTTTTGAGGTTAATGAGGTCCTGTCATTCCCTGCTACCAGATTACTATAACAGGACCCATCCACCTTTATTCTTCTAGACTGCTTGTAATGATTCAAGATATGGTGTGTCTTGGTGGAATGGTCCTTGTACACATGAAGAGATTTATTCTGCTGTGAAGTAAAATACTCTTGTCTGTCAGATCCAATTGCCTGGTGGTGTTCAGTTCTTGTCTTACTATACACACACACTGGTTCCCTAAGAGAAGCATGTTACATTTTTGTATTTGTGTATCTGGTCCCTTTTGTGGAGGGCAATACTGGGGATTGAACCTAGGGCCTCATACTTGCTATGCAAGAGCTCTACCATTTCATCTTCTTGTTGAGTTGGACATTTTGTCCAGGATAGTATGTGCTCTTACTATAGTCACTGTGGCTTTAACATATTTACATGGTCTGTCGTTTTACTTTTAACTTTGCATCACTTGAATTGTGTTTTCTATAATGTTGGGTTATGTTTTTCCCGGAGTCTTTATATGGATCTCTCTACATCATTTGCATTTAATGTGATTATTATGGGTTTAGATTTAGTTTTGCCATCTCACACAACAGTTTTCTCTTTTAGGTCATTTGAGCATTCTTTAACATTCCATTTTCATCTTTTATTATACTGATGTGTTACTTTTTTTGTAGGTTTTTTTTAGTGGTTGCTCTACCCTGTAGACCACATACATCCACAGCTATGAATATTGCCCAGTACATGTATGCATGGCATTGTGTTGCGACATCAAAAGACTGGACATACTTGCTAAAATGTTAAAATTTAATTTTTTTAAATTTTTTTATTTTAAAAAAATAAAAATAAAAAAAAGTGAATTTTATACATTCACTTGTATCCCAGCTATAGCCCTCTCCCTCTTTCCCTCCCAATCCCCTAAAATTTAATTCTTAAATGTCTAAGAGTGAACACTTCCTTTTTTTAACAATATGCCCTCACCTGTTGCCAGCCTTCCATATAAATACTGTAACTGCTCTGGCTTAGGAAGCTCAGCCTCTGGAGTTGAGGGGATTTCAAAATCAGAGGAGCTCTGCGAATCCCCATGTGCACTGGTTAGCAGTGTTTTCTCCAGTGGGGATTTCCTGCCACTCAGAGTGTCTGGTTCTCTAATGCAAGGACCTCCATTTACTTCATCTCTGCTTTCCAAGTCACAGGAAGTGTCCTGTGGACACAGTGCATTCTGTTTCATTTGAGAGGCAGAAGTATTCTCTTTGATTTTTGGTTTGCAGACACCCTTGTTCAAAGAGGTACTGTCTCCACCACTTTTCTCTTGGGATGATAGCAGAACAGTATCACACTGGCTATCCCAGCCTTGACTTCCTTGATCTGTTATATGTGTTGACTGAGAGGAATTCTGGGAAGAGATGTGGGTAGATTCTCCATCAGAATCACTGCAAAGCTTTGGTGAGTCACTGAAAAGCTTTGGCGACTGAGATCCTCCTGTCTCTATGGAGGAAGGTAAGTTTTCTGAGCATTCATCTGTGATTTCATCTTTTCTTTTGAAGAATACTTCCCACTGCGGTATGTCTGCACCAGCATCTTGCTGGGGTAGTGTCTCGGGGCCCAGACCTCCCTGCAGTGAAGGTGGGGTTTCTAGCTCTTCTTCACTGTCACTGTTGCATTCTTCACAGTCTATGAAGTTGGCCGAAGTAGCACTCCACATACTCTCTGCTTTGCAGCACCCCTGCCTTTGGCTCAGTTCAGGCTGGTCTTGTGGCAGTGCCTTCATTGAAAATACATCAGGGAGAAGAGTTACCTGGTATGGAACTTTGTGCCTTAAAGGTGTTGGCAGAAGGTCATCAAAAAGATCGCCTTCCTCTTCTGAAACAAACAAAACAGACATGTATGGAACAGGGAAAGTGGAGTCTGCACTTAAAGTTGAAGGCTTCTATCTGTTGAGAATGTGGGTCCGTCCTTCTCAAACCTGAGTGACTACTAAGTTTCACAGGGGGACTTTTTTTTTTTTAAGGATTCTGTTTTTAATTATGTGTATGTACCCATGAGTGAAAGGCTTGAGAAGGCTGACGGTGTTAGAGCCCTGTAGCTGGAGTTAGATTCAAGACTGCCTGTGTGTGGATAATCCACGGAACATTTTAAGAACTAAAGGTTATGAAGGCCTGGTCAACAAAATTGTAGAGAATTATCTGTAAACCCACAAGTCTAGTTCAGACCCTCTGCCCCCCAGCCCTCTCTGTGAATGAGCCACCTTTTCTGGTTAAGTGCAGCTACCACCCCTCATCAAAGAAGTCTCTCTTTACACAAATGGAGACCATTACAGAAAACCACAGCTGGACACAATGCAGATATCAGTGGATCATAGGGAGCACAACCCCAACATCTGCATCACGGTGCCCACATCTGTGGCTCAGAATATGGTGGAAGGGGGTGCAGAAAGACCACATGAGCCAAAATGCCAAGAACTCTGCTGTGAAACAGCTCTCCTTGAAAGGGCTATATAACAAGATGGGGAAAATGGCAACAGCAATTGACATGTTAATGTGGAATGGCGAAATCTTGCAGCATCCTACCCCTAGACAAAGAACTACAGGCAACTAATGACTACTGGGAGGAGGATAATTAGCCTCTCCAGGAATGAGCCTCCTTATTATCCAATGCAAAGCTGTCAAACCATATACACAAACAAAGCAAGTTTTATTTCTATATATGCACACACAGACATATTTGTGTATGTGTAATAAAGGAGGCTATCAACTTTAGTGGGTTTATGGGAGGGATTGAAGAAAAGAAAAAGAGGGAAAAGTAATGTAATTTCAATTAAATTTTTTTCTCTTTTTTTCAAGACAGGGTTCCCCTGTGAAGCCCTGACTGTCCTGAACTCGCTTTATAGAGCAGGCTGGCCTCAAACCCACAATGATCCACCTGCCTCTGCCTCTCAGTGTGCTGGATTACAGGCGTGTACCACTGTGCCCGGCTTAAAACATTTTTAAACTACCACATTTTAAAACCTCGATAAAATCAGTGACATGTATGAACTAAAATATACATATTGCTTATAAAATATACTTTAAATTGTCTAGTACAGATTTCCACTAAGTTGTTTAAATAATATTTCCAGTAAACATGTAAAAAAAGTAAGTTATCACTATAATACACATAAGTGAGTAATGATAAGCCTAAGAAGTCTAGAAAGTGCAGAACCAAAACATGGAAAAGGGAAAATAGCAAATAGAAATGAACATTAATCAGATATTTAAACAAAAAAAAAAATGGATTTGGTAGGTGCATAAAAGAAGCAGATTTTCTTTTAAGGAGGATAAGCCTGCTGATTCAGTGCCTCTAATGAAGTAAATGACCTGGTGTGGGTGGTGTCTTCATGAGACAACAGAGGCCCCCAGCTCTCCAGCACCCCCTCTCCACTGTTTGCATGCATAAAGGGAAGGCCACATGAGCACAGGACAGTGGCCAACTACAAACCAGGAGAAAAGCCTCACTGAAACTACAGTACCAGTCTTTTGTTCTTAGACCTCGAGCCTCCAGAACTATAAACAATAAGTCTGTTGGACTGGAGAGATGGACCTGTTCTTGCAGAAGACCCAGGTTTGATTCCTAGCTCCTACATGGTGGCTCACAGTTACCCTTAACTCTAGTTCGAAGGCCGATACTTTCTGAGCTTTGAAGGCACCAGGCAAATGTGCACAGACACACATGGGAGCAAAAGTCAGATACATAAACTAAAAATAAAATCTCTAAAGTTAAATTAGATTCTAAATGAGTAGAAATACAGAAGCAAAAATGGAAGACAGGCCTGGTTCAAATCCCAGCCCTATCACTTCCTGCTAGACTTTGGGGAGTTTTCTAAATTCCAGTGTTCTCCTTGGCAAAGTCAGATGGGCATCAGTTGTAAGTTTGTTTAGAGGTATAGCTGTAATAGTGCAGAAGACGGAGCTTAAGACTTGCCCTATATAAGTGTTCAGTAAATAGCATCCTCCATGAGGATTCACTTATGGCACTCCACTGAAGGATGACATCTGAAGTTAGAATTACCAAGTGTGGCTGCTATAAGCCAACAAGGCTTTGCCCAAAATCTGAAGTTCTCTCTCCTAGTCAGAGCTTGTCTGTGTTTTAAGATTATTTATTTGTTTGTTTAACATGTATGAGTTCTCTATCTGCATGTACCCTTGCATGCCAGGAGGGGGCATCAGATTCCAGTATATATGACTGTGAGCCACCATGTGGTTGCTGGGAATTGAACTCAGGACGTCTGAAGAGCAGACAAAGCTCCTAACCGCTGAGCCATCTCTCTAGCCCTTGTTTGTGTTCTTAACTACAAAATTAAAGACCATTATAAGAACGTAGGCACGAACAGAAAAGAGCTTTTGTATGTCCTCACTGCTCCAGCTGATCAGAACCAAAGGCAGAAGTCTCTTTTCAGTATCTGCTAACATCTTAGAAAAAATGCCCCAGGGCAACAACACAGCCCACCATGCAGCCCATACCAGTCTCGGCATATTTCAGGAAGCCCAGAACCATTCTTACCTGAGTCTAGACGGATTGTTCTTGCTCTCTTCAGTTTGCCAAGTGGTTTGTAGTTTGGTTCGGCACTTTGGGAGGATCGGCATAGAGGCTTTAAACTGATATAAATCCAAATATTAGAAAGTTTTCCCTTTGGAAAAGCATTACTTAGAGAGACTAGAACAAAGCCATGGGGAGAGCATTTGCGGGAGGTAGAGGCAGTGTTTAATAAAGTGGGCAATGGAAGCACCTAGAGACAATGCAGTAGAGACCGATCAGGTACAGAGGGAAGTGCCTTAGAGTTAAGCCAAATTTGACTCTTTGCCCTTAAGGCAAGAAAGAACCGTATCCCAGGACAGGACTTAGGAGCATGGCAACACCTAGTGACGTCCAGAGACTATGGGTGAAGTGCTGTGTCTTCTCTGTTTAATGGCACTTATTTACCTCTTGCAAGGATCCTACAAATTTCATCTCTGGATTCAGTCACGGGCTGAAATAAGAACTGTAGGGGTCTACCCTCACTGAGGGCTACGTTTTAGCCCTTCTGTCAGGTTGACAGAAGCCTTGAGAATTGTAGCCAGCATAGCAGATGATGGCAGCCATGAAGCCCCCGACCTGACATCTAACTACAGCCAGACTTCTTTCCCTTTGTCACCTCTGTTCACATCTATATTCCCTGGCTCCATCCCACTGGACACCTCTAGAATCTGCTGTTAACTGCTTCCCTCTGGGGCCATTTCGTGCATTCTCTTTGAGTAACTTTCCACCCAGCTACAACACAGCGCCCAGTAGAAACGCATGAGAGAAGCATGGTTAACAAGTACTCCAAATGATTCTAAGTGGATTCTGCTTAAGCATTACGAGGCAATCTTGAATCTCAGCTAGCGGGATCAAGTTCTGCTAGCCAGCATGTCTACCATGTACTACCATGTACTTCTTTGTACTGCCATGCTTTTGGACTTCTAAGTCACAAGTCTACTAAAACTGCTGTAAGCATACACAAATCAGCTCATTACCAAGGTAACCAGAGCTATCACAGTCCCTGCACTAGGTCACTTTTAAAAAAAGATTTTTGTTTTTATTTCTGTATTCATTCATGTGTCCATCACATGTTTGAGTAGGTTCTGTGGAGGCCATAAAAGGGCATTGGGTCCCCTGAAGCTGGGGTTGCAGCTAGTTGTGCACCTCTGGATGTAGGTGCTGGGAGCCAAACTTGGGTCCCCAGGAAGAGCTTTTGACCACTGAGCCATCTCTCCAGCTTACCAGAATTGGCCTCTAGCACCTCCCACTTTCCCTCCTCCCGATGTCACAGTGTGTATCTCCTTTTCTAGCTCTTTTTCTGTAGTTTGCTACTGCAGTTAGTTCTGGTTATTGATCTTCATGCTCTCTGCAGTCAGCCTGATTATTGATCTTCATGCTCTCCTGATGACTTCTGTCCTCTTGGTTTCAGTTACTGCTCTCGTTGCCAACTCTACATCTGGTACCTCCCACCTGTCTAGTCCCAAGAAATCCCTTCTCCCAAAGTCTGGCATCTGGACAAAAGCCAGCATTCATCACCTCGGGGACTTGAGCAAATAGCTTCTGCCTGCCAAATAGAAGCATTCTCTTCACCACAGGTACATGTGGCTCCTCTATTAACATATACCTATTAGCATATCAAGGTCTATTCTCGAAGAAGCTCTTCGAGAGCTCCTAGGCTCTTAAATCCCTACACAAGCCTGGTGAGGTGGCACACGCCTGTAATCCCTGCACTGAGGGAGGCAGAGGCAGGTGGATCTCTGTGAGTTAGAGGCCAGCCTGGTCTACAAAGTGACTCCAGGACAGCCAAGGCTACACAGAGAAACCCTGTCTCAAAAGGCCAAAAAAAAAAAAAAAAAAAAAATCAAAGTCCTCCATCCCAGTTTACAAGTTCCTTCTTCCTTTTAAAACCTTGGAAGTCCCCTCAGCTGCTGTCACTTCTCTGCTTTCCCCCAGAGAAAGCCTTGGTGGTTGGAATAAACATTTCCCTTTTCACCCATGAAGCAGCTTGGTTCTTTTACTGCACCTGTTTCACTCACCACGTAGGCCTCTCTCCAGATTGTGAAGCCTGTTTCCATCTGTCTAAGCTCAGAGCTATATGTCATCAGTCTCAGGCGGATTCCCTGACACCAGGCTGATTTCCTCCATGGCCCTGACAGCTGTGTACATGTATGCCTCTGAATGCCAGCATGATCTTACCCTCAAACTCAGGCGACGTGGATCTGCCCACCAGCTCTCCCAACTGTTGAGCTGGCACTAAAGAAATGTTTAATGATTGGACTTAAAGGTAGCACATGCCTGCAGTGCTAGCACTTGGGACATGGAGGCAGGGGGCTCACAAATTTCAGGGCTGCCTCAGCTGTACAGTGAGTGAGACGGCAAGATGGCTCAGTGGGTAAAGGCAGTGAGGACATGAGTGCGGCTCCCTGGACCCAGCTGTTGAAAAGAGACAACTTTCCCCTGTGAGCTGCCTGCTGACCTTCACACATCAACAGTAACAGCAGCTCTCACATGCACAGGCGTTCATGCATGCACGCATGCACACATTCGCGTACACACACACTAGGACGTAGAGGTCACAAAAAGTAACAGTAAAAGACAACTGTCGCATTGCCTTGCTCTCCCGAGTTTTATTCACCCATTCCACAGACACCTCTCCACTGGGCCTAGGGGCTCTTGTCAGGTGCTCTTCATATGCTATCTATGGATCCCTGAGAATCCCAACAAGGCATTTGCTGGTTAGATATGATTGGTTCTGAAGTGACCTGGCCAAATTCATATTTCAAGTAATTGGTGGACAGGGTTCCACCCAGGACAAACTGACATTACCCACACATTCTGCCCCCTAGAAATGACGGGGAAGAAATGGAAATAAAGGGGATGCTCAAAGAATTGTTACAACAGAAACGGGTTCTAGGTTTGCAAGCTTTCAGGCAGAGCACTCCATGCCTCCCAGCCAGGACCACCAATAGCAACACAGGCCCCCTAACAGAAACTACTCACACGTCCATGACCTTGTCCACAGTGAGGCCTATCGGAATGACGTTTGGATATGCATTCACCGGACAGATGTACCTCAAAAAATCTTTAATCTAGAAGGAATATAAGACACATACGTCATCTCCATGATGGGAAATTGAGGGGTTAGTCTATTCATAGTTACCAAGGCATAGACAGAACCAGTCTACACACCTGTCTACAGGTGACTGAGTGGAGAGGTAACATACAGACACATGCCAGGCACATCCATGTACAGACACATGACAGAAAAGCAGACAAGGAAAGGTGTGGGGAGGGAGGGAGGGAGGAACGAGAGGATCAGGAGAGAATTATGGAATGATGGTCTGGTCTGTTTTCTATGTGGGAACTAGATTTAATAGCATATAGTGAGAACAGATGGGGGTTAATGGCGGGCAAGTATGAACAAAGCATGAAGCTGCATTTATATGAAAATGCGACCCCTGGGGGCCTGCTGAGCAGAAGACACATGTAGTACCTAGGCCTCACTTCCATGAACCCTCCCAGCACTGGGCTATGTTGGGGTCTGGGAACTTGCACATGTGAACTTTGTTTGGGTTCCTGCTCCATGGAAAGTCCTTCAGTTCCTGAGAAACGGATCTAAAGATTGTGTCTTTCTACAATATCACAGTCATTTCTTTGTCCACGTCCAGTTGCCTACATCTGGCCAACTTCTTCCACGTGAGTTAGAATACAGCTGAGTAGTGGCCACACATACACGGAAACAAGGTCTTTTCGTACAGTCGTTACCAAGGCAACTGCATGATGGAGATTACTTGATTTGTTCTACGGCCTGTTCGCATGGAGTCAAACAGCACACGGTGTCACCACCCTAGAAAGACACTAAACTCTTCTGCCTCTTACATCCTAGATTGTAGTCACTAAGGGACACAGTGCAGTCAGGCCTAGAGGTGAGAGCACTTTTCTTACGGGGCCCAGCAGGGAACACTGTAGCCCATTTCTCTCCGAGCAGGCAGCTCAGGACACCTTGCCTCTGCGCACTTGTCTCAGCGCCAGAGAAAGGGTCCCTTACTATAAACTCTGAAACGCCGGATGCTAAGGTGACAGGTGCTCACACAAAGGCGGATGCGGAATAGGAGCACACGCAAGACTGAAACAGGAAGAGCTTCCCAAGAAAGGAGGCTAGCCAGTGCAGGCTGTGTGAGCTCTGACAGAGGCTTACAAGTGGTAGGAAGTGTTCCAGGACAAGACCCTGTGTGTGTGTGTGAGTGTGTGAGTGTGTGTGTGTGTGTGTTTATGTATGTGTGTGTGACCTGAGACACTACAAATACAATCCCCTTTCCTAACAATTCTAAACAATCACAGTTTCTTGATTTTTTTTTCCATGTTCAGAATGCTAAACAGAGGAACTCTGTCACTTCCCTCTCGAGAGCTCTACAACCCAAGCAAACCTCGGTAAGCTGCGATCTCAGTCAGGACTGCAGCTCAGGTTCTTCATTTATGGCATAAATACACAAACAGCCTCCTATATCCTTAGGGAAACATGCAAACAAAAGCCATTACTTGCCCCCACCCACCTCCTGCTGGACTTAAAGAATCAATCGGGTCCAGCCAGCAGAAACCCGAGACTTCAAATGGACAACTGACAGAGGAAGGCCTAGCCTACGTCAAAAGTGATTTAGTATTCCTTGATGATGTAGCCACAAAAGACATCCAAAAGAGAAACACCCTCTCTCCATCATCCAAGGTGACCCAGCACCAAACACTTGCCAGAACATAGTACATCAATTCCCTCAAACCTTGTTTCAGTGATTTCTACATGGCATCATGCACAATGAATGAATGAACACTGAATCACTGTCCCCAGGGGCAAAATGAGGATAAAATTACAGAGAACCTCAGGCAACATCATTTTCAGCCAATTGATGCATAATCCTGTCTTTTTAAAAATTACTATTTAAATTAGTATACACACTATCCTGTGTCATTTATGGAGCTTTCAAAAAGTTGTGTTTGTTGCTTCTCCTACCATAATCATTCTGTTCTGCCTGTGCACAGATACTTCACCTTATGCTCGGTTCACAGTGGTTATCACTGTAACTCAAGTCTGAACAAAGCATATCTAGCATATGTATTCTTCCCATGCTCAGGAACTGAAAAAGACTTTAGCAGGATGACCTCATGCCATCTACACACGCACACACACAATTACTCGTAGATCATGTAAAGGGTACTGTTTAAATCTGAGCTGAAACAAGGACATAGACTACTGCCCTGTCTGGTAGGAGCTGACAATGTGCATGTCAAGTGATTCGATTTTTCATCGTCTTCTGCCCCACTGCGAAGGATACCTAAAGCCCGACAAAAAGAGATGCTGGGGCTCTGAGCAGGCAAACAGAAATACGGAATGCACATGTGAGAACCAGTGGAAGAGAGGAAACAGGATGGGAGACTACTACAGAGGTCCTCTGAAAGGCTCCACCCAACAGGGGATGGAAACAGATGCTGAGACTCACAGCCTAATTTTGGGCAGAGTGCAGGGAGTATTATGGAAGAAGAGGGAGGGGACTAGAAAGACAGGGAAGGGACAGGAGCCCCACAGAGTCTCCACTAACAAAGCTAAAAAATTTGAGCCGATGGGGTCCTGCAGAGACTGATCCACCAACCAAGGACCATATACAGATGACCTAGACCCCTGCTCAGATGTAGCTGACTGGCAGCTCAGTCTCCATGTGGGTCCCCAAGTAAGGGGGACAGGTGCTGCCTCTGTCATGAACTTACCCCTGGAGATGCAGTCTTGCCAGGCCACAGAGGAAGAGGACCAGGCAGTCCTAATGAGACTTGATAAGCTATGGGCAGATAGCAGAGGAGGACAACTATCCCTTTCATTGGACTGGGGGAAGGGGATGGTGGGGGGAGAAGGGAAAGATGGGACTGGGAGGAGTTGAGAGAGGGGGCTTCAATCGGGATATATAAAGAATAAATTGTGGAAAAAAATTAAAATAAAAAAATATTTTAAAAAAAGGAACCATTTTTAGAAAATAGTGAAAGGAGGGTTGTGGAGATGGTTCAGTCACTAAAGTGCCTGCCTTGCACATATGAGGATCTGATTTTGATACCCAGAACCATATAAAAATGCTGGGCATAATGGTACACACTTGTAATCTTAGACAGCCTAGCCTAACTGGTGAGCTTCAAGCCAACGAGAGTCCTTACTGCAGGAGAGTGGGATGGCCTTCCTGAGGATGACGCCTGAGGCTCTCCTCTGGCCTCCACACATATGCGCATCTACGCCACCCACTCCCACACACATGTGCCCTGCCCCATGGTGATCAGCCACAAAGGCTGCAGAAAAGTTAGGAGTTGACAAATCCTCTTACCTCACTGTAGGAGGAGTGAAAAGAAAAACAAGCTCTGTACGAGCTCTCTCCGGTTCTAAGGGGAAAGCAGAACACGAAAAACTAAGTGACGTCATAGGGTTGAACTTACACCTACGCTGTTTGGTGATACCACAAAGCTGTCAGATACTACTGCTTGGGGCAGGAGTCAACTCTTCCAGATGTGGAAACCTGCTGTAGACATCTAAACAGGCCGAGTCAAGGAAGTCCTATAAGGAATGAGGGTCACTGTGGAGGTGCCTCGCTGTTAGGCGCTTCCATTCTTGCAATACCAGTCTGTGATATACAGCAAAGCCCTCAGATGCTTTCAGAGGCCAGCCATCCTCTCTCACAGAGGACGCCCCTGCACAGACCAGCTGATGTACTGCCATAGTTTGGAAGAAGCATACCTTCATTTTAAAAAGTGTTTAAGTGAAAAAGATATTTCCCACAATTAGAACACACCCTCTCCTTGGGCTTCTGCTGACCCATGTTTAAACTACACTAAATCCAGCATTTCACCTGAATCTCAGAAGACCCAGGGCTGCTGCCTCACCTCACGATCACATTTGTTTTCCTGCTTCTCTCTCCAAACCACATGGTAGACGGCTTGATGCTGATTGTGTGGAGTGTAGTTTTAGCTTTGGAAGTGATCCCACATGGTAATTTATTCCACTGGAAATACTCTTCTGCCTGAAAACAAAACGAACAAACAAAACCAATAACCACACGTTTTAAAGTGCAGTTACATATTTCCAACAAGGCTGTTTGTAGACTGGATCTCAAAGGCAGCTGCAGATGACTTTCTAAGCTTGAAAACAATGAAGACACAACAAAGGCAGCAGGTTATTCCAAAATGAGAAACAGTCTACAGACCGCCTGGTCTGCAGGCTTCACCATCCTCACTATGAGGAAAGAGATGCAAAACACTGAGAAAGTCCTCAGGTTCAGGGAGGAGGCACATGGCATGAGGTTGAGCCCAGCCTGGACTATAGCAGTCTGACCCTGTCTACAGTGAAGACTCTCAAAGAAGAAAATCAGAAAAGCAAGCTGCTCATGTCTGGGTGAGGTGGCACATGTCTCAATGAAAAAAAAAAAAAAGTAAGAAATAAAAAGGAAAGAAAATATGTGTGCTCCTAGGCATGATGGAGAAGAAGATTATTAGAGACATGTAGGAGAGAAAAGCCAGTGGAAGGGACATCCAGAGTGGATATGACTGGACTGAACTGGGACATATGGAAAGAGGGGTGAGCAGCAGAACCAGGTACAGCAGCCAGAAGGCTCAAAGAGAGTGGGTAACCAAGGATGATACAGGGAAGAGCAGCCTAGGTCCCTGGATGGAGAGTTCAGGGTAGGGGGTGGGGTGTACCAGCCAGAAGGGCCCTGTAGCTGAGGAACTGAGGGATGCAGGGAGAACCTGGCAGCCAGGTCCAATTTGATATGTTAAGTAGGCATCTCAGTCATTTGCCCCAAGTTTGAAATCCAACAATGATACTTGGGAAACAGGCAAGAGTATTGCAAGTTCTAGCCTAGCCTATGCTACAATAGCCCACCAGTCCATGATGCCAGGGCTCCCAGTTTATCATTTTATACATTCTTTTAGCCATCCAAGAGTCTACTAGATGTGTAGCCACGTATGACTAAATACATGCACACCAGTTAGAAAATGTACCCTACCTATCACCAGGAATAGTTTCTAATGTGTAGCTCTCTTATTGGAAAAAAAATTATTTTTATTTAGATTTGTGTATGTGAGCATATGTATACATACATGTGTGTGGGTGTCCAAAGAAGCCTGCAGATGGCATTGGATCCCTGGAGATGGATTAATAGGCAGTTGGGAGCTAGGAACCAAACTCAGGCCCTCTGAAAGAGCAACAGGAGCTCTTTACCACAGAGCCATCTCTCCAGCCCTTCTAATGTGCAGCTCCCTCAGAACAGCTTCTATTTGAACATTACATGTTGTTGGTGAGACAATGTATTTTCTTTCTTTCTTTCTTTCTTTCTTTCTTTCTTTCTTTCTTTCTTTCTTTCTTTCTTTCTTTCTTTCTTTCTTTCTTGCTTTTGTTTTTGTTGTTGTTTTAAACAGACAGGGCTGTTTCTCTGTGTAACAGCCCTGGCTGTCCTGGACTCCTTTTGTAGACCAGGCTGGCCTCAAACTCACAGAGATCCGAGTGCCTCCGCCTCCCGAGTGCTGGGATTAGAGGCATGCCCCAGCACTGCCCAGCTGGGACAATGTATTTTCATACACTGTGCCTAAGGATTTGGGCAGATGGAACAATGCTGCTATCATAACAGTGCTCTACATATAAAAAGTTCTGTGCTGAGACAGTTCAAATTTTAGGGAAAAATTGTGATCAGGCTCAGAATTGTAATTTGAAAGTAACTAGTTTAATTCTCTTAATTAAATGACAGATTAAGCTCTTCTGAGTTTATAAATCAGAGGGCAGAGGAGGAGAAGACATTGGGAGTAAACATGATGAAAACACATGGTCAGGGCTGAGAGCTGGCTCCGCAGCTAAGAGCACTGGTTGCTCTTCCAGAGGTCCTGAGCTCAATTCCTGGCAACCACACGGTGGCTCACAACCTTCTATACTGGGATCTGATGCCCTCTTCTGGCATGCAGGTTACATGCAGATAGAGCACTCATATACATAAAGTAAATAAATAATCTTAAAAAAAAAAAACATTGTAAGCCAGTTGGTGGTGGTACACACCTTTAATCCCAGCACTTGGGAGGCAGAAACCTGGTCTCAGAAAAACCAAAATAAATAAATACATTGTATACATGCATGAACCTGTAAGAAAAAAAAAGACATTATCAAAGGGGAAAAAATGTCAAAGGCAAAGGCAAAATGGTAGCCTGGCATTTAGTGACCTCACGGTAGAACTACAAAGAAAAGTTAACAGTGAGCATCAAATGACTGGAAGCACTGGGAACTGCACCAACAAGGTCACTCCTCTGAAGCTGGAAGGAGGTTATGTCTACACAGTTCACAGTATACACATGCTTTAAACCTCAAAACAAATAGTAACAGACTGAGAACATATCTGCTTAAATATGTTCTGGACATGACACCAAAGTGGGCTCCACGGGAGCATCTCTCAGCCGTGGACCAGTGCAGCTCTCAGACCTCATCAGAGAAGCTCCCGAGCGCAGTGGGCAGTGGCTAACACAAAACCCAGAACTGGTCGAAGCACAGAGAAGCGTGTGAGTAGAACTTAACCACGCACGCACGAGACATCTGTGTCACATCCCCTCCCCGAAGCTCAGGGATCACCGTGGACGTGGGCATAGAAAGACAGAGAGCCAGAGGCTGTGGGGGACAGGAGCCAAACTGTGGTCTAGACCTGTCACAGAACTGTTGCACACGTGAACTCACTGCAACTGTGGTTCTCTGCACAACAGCAAGCCAGTCAACATTTGAACAGAGTGGAGAGGTGTTCATGAGGCCCCACTCCTGAGAAGCTATGGATAGCGGATGGCTTCTGCAAGAGCAAGAGTCACTTTAAAGGGTGTGGCCCCGGGCAGGTCACCTGTGGGCGGTCCCACACCCAGGAACATCTGGGCAGCACAAACTGAACTCTGTGGGTAATTAAAACAAACAGAAAAAGGTAACAGGGCACGTGCAGGTGGATGAGTAGGGCGATGGAGGTGACCTGAAAGGAGCTGAGGGTAAATATGACTAAAATACATTGTATGAAATTCTCAAAGAATTAATAACTTGCTTAAACTATAAGCTAGCAAAATTACTAGTTCATTATAAGTAAATTTTCATTCTCATGCACAGGAATCAATTTTATATAAAAAATGCATGAGGCTGTGCCTGTTACTCATTATGAAGTACACGCTCATGGAATACACAAAAGCTGCATGACCTCCAGCTAACAGCCTAGGATCACAAAGAGGCTTGGGAGAGAATTTCTGGACTGCCTTCTTGATCTCAGTCTCTCAGGCCCCACAAATGATAGGACAGGCGTTCACCAGTACCTTTGGGTGGCGGCAGGCGTGGATCTGGGTGTTTCGGTCTGTTGTGAGATGGTGGAGGATATCAGGCATATTTCTAAACATGTCCAGCTTGTCCACATGAACCTGTGCATAACAGCAGATGGAAGCACACTGTTTGAAATGAATTCCTAAGAACTGACAGTTCCGGTGCCAGTCTCCGGGGGAGACTTTTCAGTTACTGGATAATCTTCTCTCTCATAGACTAGTCCTGGACTACTCTGGTGCCTGCTAACACCCTGCCAGGAAGTCACTAGGCTCCCAGGCTGTACATGTTAAGAATCCTGTCCTTCAAGAATCACTTGGTTCATATTGATAATGCATCTACTGACGTCAATTCTAACCCTAGTAATACGGCAGAGAACAGACAGACAGAGGCAGTCAAGAATCTCCCGGGGGGTTGCTGAGATGGCTCAGTGGGTAAGGTTACCATGTACCATGAGTCAGGTGACCTGCACTCAATGCCCAGACCCCGAGTAAAGGAGGAAGGAGAGCCAACTCTCCAAAGCTGTCCTCTGACCTCTACAAGCACCTTGTGTGTACATTACCCAACAAAGTATAACCCACTTTAAAGGCATGCCATGTGCCACACAGGACGGCTGGCACGGTACAAAGCTGGGGCCTGGATCACTGTGCCACATACACCTTCACTGGGCAAAAAGGAGAGAAAGACACAGAAAGACAAATATGCAAACCTGGCTGCTCTTGAGAAATGTAAAGCTAATAACAGGTTTTAAAGCATTAAAACCAGTTATGTCAGCTTTACTCAAAGCTTATCTTCCGGGTTTTTCAAAGCAGATGGGATTAGCCTAAACCGATATCAGGATCATAAAACAAAATTAAAATAGCAGCATTCTCATGTTGGTGTGACACTAACAAACAAACTAGAATAACTGTCCTATTGCTGTGCTGACTGATACCATGCCGTGCTGCAGAAAGAACTCAAGCACAATTGCTTAAATTATTGTGTGGCTCATTTGACTTACAACTGATTTACTTTGACCAATATACAGGAAAGATAAGGGATTGGAGGAGATGAAGCAGCCAGTGAAATTCGTCTTGCAAGTATAAGAAATTAAGTTTGATCCCCAGAACTCTTGCAAAAAACAAACAAAAATTGTGGTGGCCTGCGTTTGTGACTCCACTGTGGGAGGTGAGCCAGGTAGATCTCTGGGCCTTGCCTGCCAGCCAGGCTACCTACTAAATTCCAGGTCAATGGGAGACTCTGGAAAGAAAAAAAAAAAAGAAGGAAGGAAGAAAGGAGGGAGGGAAGGAGGAAGGGAAGGGGAAGGAGGGAAGAAGAAAGGAAGAAGAAAGGAGGGAGGGAGAAAGAAAGAAAGAAAGAAAGAAAGAAAGAAAGAAAGA